CTCCCTCCCAAACCAGCTTGATTTTTCTGCAAGAGGTGACTCATTTGGGAACAAAAGACGTGGCTTTTAACCGGGGTGGACTTGGGGGGTGGTTCTTGGCTCAAGTTGTACCTACCTCTTCTCTCTGTGGTGGAGCCTGTTTGTTTTGTGTGTCCTTCCCACCCCCCCACGCTGTGTTTTACATCCATAGATGTCACTTCTCCGCCCCTGGAAAATGTATTTTATGAGCGAGGAAAGGGAAGAGCTTCTACGAGAGCTCTGGTTCGTTTCAGGCTCCCAGACAGTGATTCATCCTTTGGGGGTTTTTTTGGAGGTTTTTTTTTTGTTGTTGTTGTTTTGTTTTTACATCCTGACTTGCGAATGTAAGAAATCCAATCCCAAAGCTCTCAGTAGAAACGGCTGAAAATTTCCCAGCCTGGAGTCTACAGACCTCATCACTGTGGTGGTTTTTATATCCCTATCCCCAAGTGTCTTGGGGTAAAATTAAGCCTCCTTTGAGTTCGTGTCCGACGGGACCTCGCGGAGCCGGGGACTGTCACGCGCCGGGCTCTGGTCGCTGGGGAGCTCTGCTGCCGTGTGCCTGTTGCTTGAAGGATGTCATCTTCATTTCTCCTTAAAATGACACAGAGCCACAGGGCAACAGCCACGTGTGCAGGTGTGGGTCTCCAGGAGGGACCACCCGCCCCACCTCCCCGTGACTCTCATGGCCTTAACCCTCAGGACTGTCCCCCCTCCCTCTCAACAGCACAACCGAGCTTCTCCATTACGCTGTCTTAAAGCACAAATAAAGCCACCAGGCGCCCCCGGAGCTGCCCCCACAGCCCCCCCGTGTCCCTGTGTGTCGGGGAAAGGGGACAGCAGTGGGCTCTGGAGCACAGCTCCCGGTCTGCAGTGGGGAGAAAGCTCCAGGCTTCATCCCCTGCAGCACCCACCAGCCTTTCTGAAGTGACCAGGACCTGGATCTGCCCCTTCTTGCCCTGGCGGGGGCCACCCAGGGCAGGGCGAGGGCAAACTCCTGCCCCACAGGGTCAGACTTTGCCCAAATTTTGGGTTTTCTGCGTGAAGGCGAAGGACCAAAGATGCTCCTGACATTCCTCAGCAGCCGGGAAGGCTGGAAACCCAATGGAGCTGCGTCTCCTCGTGTCTGGGGTGGAGAAAACCGGAGGGGAGACTGAGCCGATCAATAAAATAAGCTGAAGCATTTTGAACTGAATTCTCCTTTTTTTTTTTTTAAATTAAAAAAAAGAGATGGGGGAGCATGACCCAGCCTCGGAGTGGGCAGCAGCGTCCACCGTGGCCTGTACCCACCGGGGGGTTCCGTCCCTGAAGGAAAAGGGGTTTTTTTGTCCTTTTTTTGAGGTTTGCTCCTCCCTGACGCTGGGGCAGAGGAGGGGAGGCCGCAAATCCTCCCGCTGCCTGGGCCTGCTTTGGGGAGAAAAAAGCTTAATTTGATGTTCTGGGGATGGAGCGGCTGCTGCCGGAGCAATCCACAGGGTGCCGCTCCATCCCCCGAACATCAAATTAAGGTTTTTTCTCCCCAAACCAGTGCCTTCCCGGTGCCTGTGTCCGTCCGGCCTCTGCCCCAGGGGAGCCTCCGGCTGCCCTTCCCGCTGCTGCCCCGGGAAATCCGGCTCTGGAGCAAAACTGGAGCTGGGAAATGTGGGGAGGGCTCTGTTAGAGCGCGGTGCGTGTCCCGGGGAGCGGGCGGGACGTCGGTTGCCCCCGGGGCCGGGCCGTTGGGGTCCCGCAGCCCCGGGTGACCGGTGTGACCTCTTTATGCTGCAATTTAAGGACAAAACCCGGTGGGGGTGGAGAGATTTTTATTCATCCGAAGAGTCTCCCGCTCGGTGAGAGGCCCCGGGGCGGCCCCGCCGTCACTTGGCCGTCGCCTTGGCCTGTAAAGAGCGGGGGGGTCAGAGCGGGCCGAGGCCCCGCCGCCCCCGTTTCTCCCCGGTTCCCCCGGGACCCACCGCCCGGGCGAAGCAGTCCCGCAGCGCCCTGAATTCCTCCAGGCAGGCGTCCCGCCGCAGCTCCGCCGTCCCGCCCGCCGCCGCCGCCACGCACCGCCCGTAGGCCGTCGCCTGCGGGGAAACCACAGGGAACCGGAGCGGCGCACCGGGGGGACCCCCGGAGCTTTCCCCCCCCTCTCCCCGGCCTCGATCACCCCCTCCCCGGCCCCACCTGCTCCCCGCAGCCCGCCAGCAGCGCGGGGAAGCGCCGCAGCCGCGCCCGAGCCCGCAGCCAGACGCCCCGGCCCGACATCTCCGCCGCCGCTCCCGCCGCTTCCTCCTCACGGCCTGGGCGCCGCCATTGCTGATCAACCGGGATTGGTCGGCCGGTCCGCTCATCAAAGTGCCGCGCCCTCGCATTGGGTGTCGGCGGACGCCCCGCCCCCTTCTGCGCGCCGATAGGGCGCTGGGCTTCTGATTGGGTGATTTTGGAAGGTCGTCCCCCTTGGCCTTCTCGGGTTAGTCGAATCGGCCTGCCGAAAGCGAGGATTGGTCATCCCCACGCAGATCCATTTCTGATTGGTCCCTCGTCGCCGGCAGCTCCGATTGGCGGAGACGCCGGTTGTTT